TTGACTTCTGGGGTAAAATTAACTTCATGAATCCTTGAACTTTCAGATAGGACTTTTTCACATGAACACACAAACATACATAACATCTCACTAGGAAGAGACTCTCAAAGTAACATATAACCACAAATTGATTAAGAACCTTGCCCTATAGGACTCTATGCCACACTTATCCTGCTTTCAGATTGCAAGTTACTCCAAAAACTATGCAGCTCTCAATGAGGTCTGTTGAAGAATGACAAGAATGAAGGTCAGAACGTCACAGTGGGTCATGAAAGACCTTATCTGAAGAATTTATTCACAACATGCAAGAACTATGCCAAGAAACCAGTTTGGAGACATCTAAACAAATAATTCTCTACATGAGGTTTGAGATTAAGAATGTTCACTTGAAAAAGATTCAAACTGAGAAGTAAATAAATATAAGGTAGGGTTGTTTTTTTTTTTTAAGACAGAATGCCATTAGAAGACAGTAAAATGCTGAATTCTTGTTCTAGGAGCTCAATCAGCAAACCTAGTATGGACCTGGTCTGATTTAAGAAGTGGAATCATTTTATTTTATTTTATTTCATATATTTTATTCATTATTTTTATTTTATGTATATGAGTGTATTGCCTGCATGTAAGTGCATCCATGTCATGCAATGCCCATAGAGATCAGAAGAGGGTGTCAGATCCCCTGAAACTGGAGTTACAGATGATTGGTAGCCACCATGTGGGTGCTGGGAACCAAACTCAGGTCCTCTGCAAGAGCAGCCAGTGCTCTTAACCACTGGGCCATCTCTCCAGCCCCAGAAGTGGAATCATTTTAAATATTACCTTCCTAGTATATTCTTCTAATACTTCCATAATGACAAATCCCAATATATTTTATGAGCCCTGCTTTCTTCATGTTTTCTGGATGTCATTAGAATAGCGAAGGAGCATGGTATACAGATTCAAAGGGATATCATTGAGATCTTCAATGAATTATTGATAAGGAATGGTTCCTACCCAGAAGATACATCAGAACTACATATATACTTCATTCTCTAATTTTATCATCAGGTCATCTCTTCAGGATGTATAACATCTAAAGGTACAAATAATGTCTAGCTTCTGTTTCCATAAGTCATAGTGAAATTTTAGGTCTCTTCATTAATACCCAAAATATAAAAAAGAGTCAACTCATCTTTCTTGGCACTACTATGTAACTGGTCACCTGTGAGGAGCCTGATGCCTGTAGTCTGTTTCCAGGGTTGAATGACATCCTCACATACCAGCCACTGCAGGCAAGAAGAGAAAATGCTTGAACATATTTAGGGGATCAAACCCTCTCTACCTCTAACTCTATGGGCTATCAGGCAAGTGGTGGATCCTCTTTAAATGATTCATTAAATAACACTCAAAAGACTTTTTTCTATGGGGAGTAGGCATCTATCAAGACTTTTTATTATCCTCATACCAAAGAGATTAGAATGAAACTTTCAAGCTTTTTTTTTTTTTTCTGGCAGTACTCAAGATTGAATGTCTCATGTGCATGCTAAGCATGAAGAGCTCTACTTCAAAGCTATAACTCCACATCCTATTTTGGGGGCATTTTTTTTTTCAGACAAGAGTCTCATTAAGTTGAAATCATTCTATAACCTTGAGCTTGAGCTCTTTCTGCTCCAGTCTCCCTAGTAGTTTAGATTCTATGTCTGTACCACAAAGCCTGGCAGCTCTCAAGCATTTTAATTATTAGTGTTATTTATTTACATAATAAACATGTCCTAGCAAAGTAATACTTTTAACTAAAAAGGACAACTACAATCACTTAAATACCAAAAGAAAAACTCTGAAAAGAATATAGTACTTTACACATATGCTAGTCCCTGACAGATTTAATCCAACTTCAATGCTAATATTTTACAGATAGCATAACTATTCATCTTTCATCCAAAACAGTTTAAATAAAACTAATCATATTTTTTAAGTCTACGGGGAATAATAATAGGGTCAGGCAGGTTGACAGCAGTGATCCATAATAGAAGCCAGCAAAGAATAGTAATGAAAATAAGACAAAAACTAGTGCTTGTTGACCGCATTTTTACATAGCAGATACTTTTTTTTTTAACCATGAACAAGTATGGTTTATTCCAAGAATGCAAGGATGGTTCAACATATGAGACCAATGAATATAAGATATTACATTAACAGAATGAAGCAGAAACATGATCATCTCAACTGATACTGAAAACACAGTTGAATCCATCACCTTTTCAGAATAAAAACATTCAAAGACTATGAATAGAAGGACACTATCTGAACATAATGAAGGAGATCTAGGAAAACCTCAAGAACACATAGGAAAACCTCAGGAACACATACGATCTGTTGTTGGACACTACATTCTCTATGACAGAATCAACTCTGTAGGTGGTAAGGGTTACCCACTGAGCCAAATTTAACTCTTGTAAAATTCTAGTCATGCCCCACTTTCAACAGAAACAAAAGGCCATGACTTACTGTGATTCTTCCCACCTTATATGTTCTGGGATTTTTGTGTGTCTGTTTTTAAAATATTTTTACTTTATGTGCATGAGTGTATTGCTTTCAGGTATGTACATATACCCATATTGTGCAATGCCTGTGGAGGACAGAGGTCAACCTCGGGATTTTTTTTTTTTTTCAGGAAATGCCCACCTTTGTTTTTGAGACAGAGTGTCTTGCTGGGACCTGGGGCTCTCTAATCTGGCTAGACTCCAGGCAGCCCCATGGATTTTCCTGTTTCTGCCTCTTCAACAGTGAGATTACAAGCCTCTGCCACCTTACCCAGCTTTTTACATAGCTGAGGAGACAGCTTAATGAGTGAAGTGCCTGATGCTCAAGCATAAGGTCCTGAATTTGATCCCTAGTACCTCCACATGCACCACACACATTCCTGTACACATGTAAACCTGCATATATACAAATAGCTTTGTGAAATGGCAGCATTACAGCTAATGAAATTTATCCAAGCAAAATCATTGCTAGTTGAAAAAAATAATAATAAAAGCTGGAGCAGTTAAGGATAGAGTCTAGGGAGGAACTCATCCATATCGACTGCTAGTGCAAATGTAAAACAACTTAGCTATTATGGAAATCAGTATTAAAGATCCTCAAAAAGGTGGGGGGTAGAAAGATGGTTCCGCAGTTAAGAGCGCTAGGTGCTCTTGCACAGGACCTGGGTTTGACTCCCAACACTCACATGGCTGCTAACAACTGTTCTTGGAACTAAACACCCTCTTCTGACCTCTACAGGCATTGTATCACACACACACACACACACACACACACACACACACACACACACCCCTAAAAGTAGAACAACCATATGATCTAGAATTCTCACTTCTGGGTATATACCCAAAGCAATCTAAGTCAACATACATACACAGAGACCCCCTGTTCATCCATGTTTACTGTGGCACTATTTATAATGGTCAAACTATGGAATCAGCCTAGGTATTCATCAACAGAAAAAGAAAATATGGTACACACACATACACACACAAAAGAGAAATTTATTCAGTCATAAGGAATAAAATTATGGGGACTGGAAAGATGGCTCAACAGTTACAAGCACTTGCTTCTCTTGTAGAGAACCTGGGTACAGTTCCTAGAACCAATATGACAGCTCACAACCAACTGTAACTCCAGTTCCAAAGGATCCAATGCCTTCTTCTGGCCTTTGAAGGCACCACGGCATGGATGTGGTGCACATACATACATGCAGGCAAAACACTAACACACATGAAATAATTATTTTTTAAAAAAGAATGAAGGGCTGGAGAGAAAACTCAATGGTTAAGAGCTCTTGCAGAGGACTGAGGTTCAGTTCCCAACACCCGCGTGGTAGTTCACAACTGCCTGTAACTCCAGGTCCAGGGAATCCCATGCTCTCTCTTCTGGTCTCCAAGAGCACTGCACACATTAGATTCACAATCAGGCACACACACATACTCATAAATAAAGTAAATGAAAATAAAAAAAGAGAATGAAATTAAGTTATTTAAAGAAAATGGTCAGAATCAGAGATCATCATAATAAACAAAATAAGCCAGATCTAAAAAGACAGATAACCCTATGTTTTCTTTCATATGCAGCACTTAATTTTTATAAGTGTGTGTGTATGTATGTCTCTCTCTCTCTTTCTCTCTCTCTCTCTCTGTGTATATGTGTATATATATGACATAGAAATAAATAGGAAACTATGAAAAAGAAAGAATTAGTGGATATATGAGAACAGGAGAGGGTAGTAGGGAATAAAGATGGTCAATGTATGTGATATATTTGAAAATATGTCATCAAGAAATCCATTACTTCATATAATAAACACTAATAATGAAAAGTTTTAAAGACCCAAAATACATCACTTGTAGGAAAATGGATGGAAATGAAGATCATCATATTAAGCAAAATAAACCAGACTCAGAAATATATATTGCATATGTTCTCTCATTTGTGACATCCAGATTTTAAATCATATACAGATATAAGATATGAAATTAGAAAGGGGACTATTTAGAAGAAGGCAACCAGTAGAGGTGGGAGAGACAAGATGGTTATGATGGATTGTATATGAGCAAAGTACTTGTATGAAAACATCATAATGAAGTCCATAATTTTATACAGTGAATACATTCTAATAAAATAAAAGAAAAATAAAGAAGTAATATCTCTTGTTGATCTCAAGAAATTATTAGACTCGGTATAAGTCAGTTAACTATCTGGGCTCTGAGTCAGGCCAACACTATTCTTCCCTTCCTGCAATACCCAATCAAAAATCATGAATCTTCGAAAATTGAACAGTGTATTATAAATTTGGGGAATATGTAAATTATCTTCATTTAGAATCAATATCTTTAAATTAGAGCTCATTTAAATTCAAAACAGTTTCTAATAGCCAGAAGATCATAAGTCATTATGTGAATAAACACATCTCAAACTTCCTATATTGAACTTAAAAACTGTCTCATTTCTCCAGCCTAAATATTACTTACCTCTTCATCATCTTCCTCGTCTTCAACGTCCAGAATTCCTGAATCCTGTTCAGACTTTGGGCTCGTGCTTTCCATCTCTGCATCAAAGAATGTATAAACCTCTTTCTTAGATTTTCTCTTGCTACCTATTCTGGGCTGTTGCAAGACAATGTTATCCAGATTTCTTTGCTGTTGAGCCTAGGATAGAGAGAAAAATACAGGAAAAAATAAATAAAGAAGTAAAAACAAAACTAGAGCTTCTAATAAACTAATTTGAACAAATTGGTATCTTACAGAAAACACACCAAAATTTCTTAATAGGTAAATTTTTAGCCCTAGGAATAAAAACAAACATAGTAATCATACCATTTTTTTGATTGTTTATTTATTGGCTTGTTTGTTTGTCTGTTTGTTAAGACAGGGTCTCACGGAGCCCGGACTGGCTCCAAATTTGCTATGGCGCTGAGGCAGGCCTTGAACTCCTAAATCTTCTTGCCTCCACCTCCAAAGTATGAGGATTACAGGTGTATGGTACCAAGCCCAGCTTAATACATATCCTTTTTACCCTGAAGTTATCCTGTATTAACTCATTTTCAAAGTCAATACAGAAAAAAAAAAGACAACTCATTGATATTATAGGATGTTTTAATAAATCTGCTAAATAACCACAAAAAACTCTACCCATTTTTACCTAAGAAGCCAAAAGGTTAATACAAATGCCTAATGTTTATCTCTTAACAAGGAAAGACCACATGGAAACTATAATGTGATGTGATGTGATATGAAATATGACATGATATATAATATATTTAAGCATAGGAGAGTCCTAAAAACAGTTGTCTGGATATGAGACCAATAAAATACAATCAAGAAGATAAATTATCTTAAAACTAATATTTTTCAGAAAGTGTTTTGAACTACTGCATGTAGCCTTTGAAATTTAAATAGACAAGTGAAAGCCTTCAGCCTAGCAAATTAACTAATATTACAGTATACTTACAATAGATCCAAAGAGACAGAAATTGTGACTATCCTGAGTCAGTAATAGAAACATTAACACATTGCAACTGGAAGTAACATTAGTCACACTCAGGAAACTGAGGCTAGAAGAGAAAGGATTTATTGCCAGTGAGCAATAAATCAGAAGCTCAAAGTGTGATGTCCTAAATTCCAGATCATTCATCCTCTCAATACACCATCAGTCTCTGTAGGCAGAACAAAATGTTTTCCAAAATAAGGGTTTTGTAGCAACATCAATAGAAACACTGCGTATCAAGTGGACATGGCAGCCCATCTGCAATCCCTACCACTTGGGAGGCAGAGATAGGCGATCCCCAGAGCAATCTGGCTAGCAAGACTAGCTGAATTGACAAGCTCTGGGTTCAAGTGAGAGACTGTCTCAATATACACAGTAGAGCAATCAAGGAAGAAACTCAATGTCAATCTAGGGCCACACACACACACACACACACACACACACACACACGCAAGCATGAACGTAATACATATGTGAACACACACCCCAAATATATGAAAAAAGAAATCTATACATTAGTAGTGATACTGTTTAAAATAAATTTGTATAACTTGTTAAGCCCAGAATGTTCCAGAAACATTGCTCTGTGGAACTTCCCCTTTCAGTATCATGCCAAGGTGCAAAGCTTAATATATTCCTCCTCAGTGCCAAGTAGAAATTAATTCAGGAGAAAAGTAAGTGGCACCAAATCTTCTGAATGAGATTAGAGAATTCAAGATAAATCTGAACTATTAGAAGTTAGTTCAGGCATTGGTTGAATGAAACAATTGTAACAAGATAGAAAAAAACTTTAACTTTGTGGTCTAGTTTCAGCCAAAACCAAATGAAAAGAATTTGCATTCCAGAGATTTGAATCAATGGGCAAACTTGCTTCTCCACACATTACCCATTGATATTTTGGGTTGACTTACATAAAATCTATGTCTTCAGTAACTAATTGAGGTAGAGCAGGGACCCACAAACAATTAGGTCTGTACATAAGAAGCATTCACAATCTTAGGCTAAACACGGCTTCTTTCTCTTGCTCTCAAAGGTAAGAAACATCCACTGCAGACCACACAACGACTGCACAATGAGGACAAATAACAGGACTGAGGACTGGGGGACCAAGAACCAATGACTAAGGACTCAGACAGGCAAAAAGGAAAGGGGACCGTCTGCATATTCCTCTTCTAAAGATCAGATTCCCAACTGCATAGTGACCACTTGCTCCCTTCTTTCTCTACTTTCTTTCAGAACACCAAAGCCAAAGACATACATAAAAGTAGGTCTTGTCAATAAATCCCAAGTGTGTTCTTCCACAACCAACAGAATACTATCAGTCTATCAGAAGCAATCAAGAAAAGTCACACTAGATACTGACATTTAACTTGAAACAACACAGGTCACGAAGCAGTGTTAGGTTTTCTGGTTTTCCTGTCAAATCAGAGATGCACAAGGCAGTTCAGGCCAAGCAACAAGATGAAATAGTGAAGACATAGGTTTCATGTTGTCTTCTAAGTGGTACTCGCTGTCTGAGCTATCATATCTTCTCCATGTCTGTAAAGGGTTTATCACAAATGATCTGCCATGCAGGAACTAGCCCAGATGAAAATATCACATTTTAGGTAGAACAATCACACAATTACTCAGATATTACCATTATGGATATCCATTAAAGTTATCATCTTTCAAAATGTATGTTATGAGACTAGGAAGAGATGATAAAGGCAAAATATACATATAAATCTATACAACACAGATTATCATGAAAAGGTGACATTAAGTTCATGAAGATCCCACTGAAAACCCTTCAGAGCTCTTCCTAACATGCTAGCAACTTCATTGGGAACCCTTACTTCAATAGCAATCTAAGAAAACAGCTAATTTCTGGGGATTAGGCTGGAAGAAAGGGTTGCAAAAAACACAATAGCAGCACGACCTCAGGACTTAGGTGTCTTCACTTTCTTCTATGCTCACTCCCTCTGAATAATTTTTACTGACTTTAGTGTCTCTTCCTTAAGAGTCTCTCCTATACACCCTTCCTTGAGAATTCCAACTCCTCTTGCTGTTTCCCCAACACCGAGCAGGGCACCTCTAGTTTCCTATATTGTTGCATTTTCTGACAGCGCCTCATTTCCAACATAGGAGAAATTAGGTATAAAGGAAATTAGGGGTGGAGAGGAAAGGAATACAAGCCCAAAACTGATCATTTACGTTCCAGATAATGGAAGTAATCAGTAGTCTCTAACACAAACCTTCCACTGGTTCAGACTACCTCCTAAAATACTAGGTATATTTCTACTTCTGTACTTACATTTTTTTTCCTCTGCTTGATAAAATGACTGAAACCAACATTTTCGCTAAAACACAACCATATTTTTCCTGTAGAAAGTCTTCTGTAGCCAGGCACAGTGGTGATACCTATAATTTTAGTAGTTGGGAGATGGAGGCTATAAGAACACAGCAAGTTCAAGGTCAGGCTCAGATACATCAGACCCTGTCTAAGAGAAGGGAGTCTCTAACACAAAACTTCCTAGTTTCCTATATTGTTGTGTTTTCTGATAGCACCTCATTTTTAACATAGTGGAAATTAGGTATAAAGGAAATTGGGGGGGGAGGAAGGAAGGCTCTGTTTACCTTATACAATGTTCTCTGTAGTACTGTTCTCAATCAAGCATGTACTGAATGTCTACTTAGATGCCACGTGAAGCAGTTTCAATGTAGAGAAGGCAAAGACACAACGAAAGCATATGAGTGTAGAAAAACAAGATCAGCTTCACAATTCAGACAAATCCTCTAAGTGCAGAGGGTAGTCAACTGGGAGAGAGTAGACTAAGCAGGAAAACGAACACAGATCACTGCAACGGGCCAAATGACAACGGTGAGTTCATGATAGCACACGTAGAAGAAGAAAAATGATTTGCATGCTGAACACGTCAGACAGGAAAGAAATAAGAGTAACTCCAAGTATTCTGGCCTTGATAACTATATAATGGGGCTGTCTCTAGCAATACGGACCATGAAGATACAGTTGCAGGAAGAAGTTGTACACCTTCTAGATATTCACATGAAAATGACACTAAAGCACTAAAACTAACAATTCTTTTCTCTTTGAAAATAAAAAAATGCTTTATCACTGGAGGTATACCCAGTCCAGACATGTGACACACAGTAAATTTAGATAAAGTTTATTATATGAATGCAGTAAATAGCAAATGGAGTCTACGTGCAAATTCAATCTGGCCCTTAATATTAAAGGGTAACATACTTGAAAGTGGCAGGAGGCTCTGGGCATGACCACAAATATTACCTATATGAACTATAATCCTAAGAAGTCACACATTAACACTGTGTAAACAGTCAGTGCCTATGATGCATCCTATACACGTTATTAAATAAAGGTTTATTGTGGAATGGAAGTCCCAGCTCCCAGTACACCCAGCAATAAGACTCAACATTCAAAACCTAAGAGCCTACTACTGACCAAAGCCCAAAGGCATGTGCATTTATTAACCCAATACTGACCTCTAGTGGATTAGAGGAGTACACACAAATGACCCTTAGAAACCAATTGAAAAGTTTTAAGCTTAATAACAAGACACAAATAACAGTTTAAAAGGTTTTGTGGAATAGGCAGTCTTTAAATATAAACCCTGAAATTTTCTGATTCTATAGCCCAAGACAGGTTGCTTTACTTCCCTGAAATATTCTCATCTATCAAAAAATTAACAACTGGGGACTGGAGAAATGGCTCAGTAGTTAAAAGCACTTGTTGCTCTTGCAGAGTTCAGATCCCAGTACCCACATCAGGCAGCTCACAACTGCCTGTAACTCTAGTTCCAGAGACCTAACACCTTCTTCTGACCTCTGCAGGTACCTCCATACAAACACACACACACGCATGCACATACACACACATACACATAAATAAAAATAAAATCTTAAAAAATAATTAATAATCAACAGTACCTCAGAGGTGACAACAAGATCGTATAAGATATCATTCAAATGGTGTATTTGTACACATGTACAAGACACTGCTGCAAATCCCCTCAGCCTCACTTCTCATTCTGGGTTTAGTAGCAACCTGGGCTACACAACCCATGAGTAACCTATCAGCTCAGGAACTTACAGAGCACCTCCAACTTCCTACCCTGGAGCATTTTTAATACCAAAAGTG